CATTCGAATGGAGAAATTAATTTGATGATAAAAGAAGGAAAAGAAAATAGAGGTGAATAAGGTGGAGCCGCTGTCGCCGGATTTACCAGCGGCGGCGGCGGAAGCAAAGAACTCTTTTAGGTCACCAAGAGCGGTGACTCCGATGCCATGTTGAAATATTGGAATAATAATATTGCTCTCTTGAATTATAAAGTACATGATAGAGTATATATAGGAAATACTCCTAACACAACTAGAAATAGAGAATGGAAACTAACTAATAAAATACAACTTCTACCATAACTAGGAATACTTAATATTATTGTCTATCAGTTTCCATTTTTTTGAAAAGAACATCAGAATACCATTAATTCAAATCAGAGTACAAAGTCTCATAAAGAAATGCTCGAGGGGCATGAATCTACGTACTCCAAACAATCAGACTCAGAAACATGATCTAGCTTCCTTTTATGAATATTGTATTTATGTAGTACGATTCCTACCATGTATAGCCCCGGGAATCCACGTTATATATTCACCTCTTGTAAACACTTCTTGGATTATCAAATATACGGATTTTCTTCACACATATACTAAAACGGAGCCGGCGGAAACATTTGTAAAGATAGCCGCTTGAAGTAGAGGGGTAGATCTTCGTTGCATGACGAACGAGCTTGAATGTATACTTGTTTAGTGTTTTAATGTGGAGAGTGTTGGCGATTAGAGCGAGGGCAAAAAAATTCTTTTTTTTTGCTCCTTGTAAGTCGTTCTTTGCTTCTTCATGCTCTCGAACTCTTGAATAGACAAATCATGATCTGTAGTGGTCGGTTGTCGATGATGAATACCGACAGTGGCGCACGGTCGAAATAAAAGAGTTAGATTTTTTAAGAGAGAGACTTGAACTCCGATATCATGATATAATTTGATACAGAGTAATACTTGATCGTATTGAACAATAAAGGTTTTATCCCTTTATATAAGATTACAAGGAGGAATCTTAATCATAATAGAATAACCATTATAGAAGTAATAGAAAAAAAGTAATTAATAATCATATTTGTTTCTGTTAGACAAAGGATGTTAGACAATAATACTAATAGTACTTCTTGTAGTATTGGTTATGGTAGTGTTTCATTATCAGTCAACTTCCTAATCCTATTTGTGGTAGAGTTGTATGTTAGTTAGTTTCCATTCTCTATTCCTAGTTGTGTTAGGAGTCTCTCCTATATATACTCTATCATGTACTTCATAATTAAAGGAGCAATATTATTATTCCAATATTTCAACATGGTATCGGAGCCACCGCTCTTGGTGACCTAAAAAAAAAAGTTCTTTGCTCCCGCCGCCGCCGGTAATTCCGGCGACGGCGGCTCCACCCTATTCACCTCTATTTTCTTTTCCTTCTTTATCATCAAATCAACTTCTCCATCCAAATGAAAAAAAGAGAAAAAAAACTCTGTTGAAATCACACACAAAAACAATCAAAGGAGGAACTTCTCTCTTGTCATCTCCATGGTTTAAAAAAAAAAACTCAACTCCTCACAAACTCTCTTAGATCATCCTATCTTCTCAAAAAAAAATGATTGTTGTTTCTCTCCAATTCACCATATCAAAATCTCAAACCAATTTTTTTTTTTCATCACCAATTCTTAACCTACTTTTTCTATCTAAAATCACTCATTCTAATCATCAACCTCCCTTCTCTTTCTTTTCGGTTGAACCAATAAAAATCCAAAGTAAATTAGCGCAAAAGCAAAGCCAAGAGGGGAAGTAGTGAAAGAGGAAATAAGACCTCTACACTCACCCCTACAAGAAGGAAATAGGGCATTACCCGGATCCAAGAAAAAGACAAAAACGTCAAGCATCTTCAGTCAAACAGGCACCTCCAGTAGCCTTCTCTATTCTTCTTCGACGTCAGCAGCTACAAGCGCACGTCAACTTTCTCTCTTCTTCTTCAACGTCAGCAGCTACCAGCGCACGTCAATTTCTCTCTTCTTCAACGATGTCTGTAGCTACCAGTGCATATCAGACTTCTCTCCTCTGCAACGACGTTAGCAGCCACCGGCGCACGTCAGACTTCTCTATTCTCCAACGACGTCAGCAGCCACCGGCGCGCGTCACATATCTCTTTTCCATAACGATGTGAGCAGCCATCGGCGCATGCCAGACTTCTCTTTTCTCAAAGTTTCCAGTTTCGAGCTAGTGTTCAAGCTTCCTCTTGCTTCACCCAGAGTTCAGCTTGAGGGGGGATGTTAGACAAAGGATGTTAGACAATAATACTAATAGTACTTCTTGTAGTATTGGTTATGGTAGTGTTTCATTATCAGTCAACTTCCTAATCCTATTTGTGGTAGATGTTGTATGTTAGTTAGTTTCCATTCTCTATTCCTAGTTGTGTTAGGAGTCTCTCCTATATATACTCTATCATGTACTTCATAATTAAAGGAGCAATATTATTATTCCAATATTTCAACAGTTTCTTATAATCTCTACTATTCAAAATAAATTATTTTATTTACAATAATAACTTAAATCAAGAATTTGAATATTTGCATACCTTTCAGTTATATTCTCTTTGTTATAAAATCAAATTTTACGTGTAATTGTAATTAAGAACATTGACAATGACAAGTAAAAAATAGAATGATACACGGTGACATGGAAGATTTCAACCAATCAAAAGTAGTCCAGTCAACATGTGGTATAAGAGAAGAGTGGAATGTCATGCAGTGACAATTCATTGTTTTTATCAATTTTACATTTTTACATATTTTAATTATTTAAATTTCTTTTTTTATATTTTTTTCAAATACAAATAGGTGTACTCCTTTTAAAAACGCTTCTTATTTAACAAAAGTGATTTAATAAAATAAAAAATATATAAAAAAAGGAAGGGAGTTGCCTCGCACATGACACAGAGAAAGGGGTGAAGTCCTTGTGCCTCACTTCATCCACGCATGGTATTTCTAAATGTCAAAGTTTTTATAAACTTAAACGTTTTAAAAATTTTGAGGTATACATCACTTTTTGTGATGTTATAAAGATTTTCAGACACTCTTACAACGAACACTTTAAATCCTACTTTTACTCTCACTCACAAAACAATTACTCCGTATATAAAATTAATCATAACTGAATAACGACTTGATAACAAAATCTCATAAATGATAATTTTTTGTCTTAACTTCATTTACAATAATATCAAAACATAATCTATTGAAAATTATATTATTTAGAACTTTAAGGATAAGATTGTAAGAAATGATACATAATTCATTTAATTTGGGTCATTTAAATGTTCTCTACGACTTTGTTTTCTAATACTACAATTATGTCGAAGATAATTTTTCGTAACTCTTTAATGATTAAATTGATGATATTATACAATTCAAATGATTGAAGAATGTACTCAATAGCATAATGAGTACAATTTTCTTCAAATTAAAATTAGTTTGTGGTTTAAGATTCACGAACTATTATACGATCGCCATTGATGAACAAAATATATTATTCTCCCATAATTAATTTAGATCATCAAAGAAATTGATTCACCGTCCATCATTAATATAATTCTTTTCTCTCATATTGATTTTAAAAAATATGATTATTCTTTCTTGAATTAATTGAAAAAAATTGTGATTATATGATTATTCGATCTCCTTTGAATTAAATAAAAATTAGATTACCAAAACCTTATTATTCAGAAAACAAGATTCTTCTATAACACATCACTTCATTAATTTAGAAAAGAAATTTAAATAATATTATGCGACCCTGTTTGAGAATATCTTTAGCGATTAGCGTTTTGAAAAGGTATCGTCTCAACACAATCAAGATCAAGAGATGATAAAAGAACTAGCAACTTGAAAGTAGTCTCCATTCATGAACTAAAAAACATGAGCAGTGTAAGACATATTTCTTTACATGTTAGAAAAAAATTAAGTTAATTTTCACCTTAAATATATTGCATATTCATCTATGCTAATAGACTTATTTCATGTATTCCACAAAGAGTAATTTTTTAATTATTGAATCATATACAATTTAAAGGGTATACACAGGATTTAATAATTAAATTAGTAAATAGTTGATAATTTAGGAAATAATTTAAATATTTATGGAAATACGTGTTCATTTTTTTTGAATAAGTTTAATTTAGTTTTAATACCAAAGTAATAAAATTACTTTTGGTGACCTACACTCTCCCGAAGCGTTGGGTTCCAAAGATCGATGGCCTCCTAAAGTTGAAAACTCGGATTGCAGTTCAAGTTTTTTTGGTGACCTACACTCTCCCGAATTTTTAAATAAGATTCGTGCTTCTGGTGTACTGAATCATGAATTAACTCTGAAGGTAGGCACGCCTATTATGTTGTTGAAAAATATTGTGTTAGAATAAAAGCCCAACGCTAGAGGGGGGTGAATAGCGTTTAAAACAAAATCGCAGGAAATTAAAACGAGAGCGTTAAAGTAAAGAGCGTAAAGAAGGAGCACACCGGATTTTATCCTGGTTCACCACAACGTGTGGCTAATCCAGCCCCCCCGAGAGACTCTCTCGAGCTACACTAACTCCGTTAAGCTTAAGGGTGCTTAACAAACCGATACAACTTGAGAACCCGAGTCACACGAGCCTCAACACCTTTGCTCGGAGATACCGCACTCCAAGACTTCTCACGAAGGAACAAGAAACTTCCTTAGAGTTTACAACAAGGGAACAAACTCCCTTAAAGTGTATGAAAACACTTAAACACTCAGGAATGAAACTCTCACAAAGAGTAGATATGAGTGAACTAGTAAACGCTCAAGAACACGACAATTTCTTCAAAAATTGGCTCTCAAATAGCTAAGAAAAATAGGAATGATTATGCAATGAAGGAGTATTGAAAATGTTGAAGAATTGTGTATAAAATGAGAGGATTTGGGTGCCATTTTATAGCCTAAAATGGGATAAAACCGTTGCTAGAATTTCCAACAGGATGAAGACAAATTTTTCAGAGACACAGGCTGATAGTCGATTGTCAAACCATGATAATCGATTATCCAAAGATTCCCTGTCCAAAAATTTAAAATTCTATCCGTTGGAGGACAACGGTAACCCAGATAATCGATTGTCAACAAGTGATAATCGATTATTGGTCCTCTCTGAAGATTCTGGGTTTTGGCTGCAAGGCTGATAATCGATTATTGCAAATCTGATAATCGATTATTTAGTGCTTCAGAACTTGGAAGTTCAAAGCTG